GGCCGCACGTAGGAACCGGCAGGGCCGGCGGCGTCCGAAGGGAAACCTCGCCCTTAGAGCAAAACACCTTAGGGGCTGCCAAGAGCTACCCCGAGCAGGGCTCTGGCAGGCGTTCAGAAGAAAGCGTTTCCTTTTCCTGTGAGAACAGGGGAAAAAACCTGCACATTTTCAAATTGTCTTTACCCACAGCTTTATATAAAAGCAACTGCTAAAGCCCAAGGGGAAAGGGGGGTGCTTTCTCAAAAGCAATCACTGCGTGCAGTGTTACACCTACAAGATGACAAAGGTTATTTTTTTTCCAGTGCAAGTTTTTGAGGTATCACAACTCTGTACACAAAGCTTTTCTCTGCGCTGCTTCTGCCCCGCACCAAGGCAAAGACTGGATGCCTAACAGTGTTTTTAGCAACAGGACTAAAGTTAAATAGATTGTATAAGAATTAGCGGCCAAGATTTATTTTAGCTATGGTCACACTGACATGTTCACCTAATAAATTTATTTCAGCTTGACTTAATTAAAATAGTATTTAATTGGTAATCAAGGGGAAAAAACAGCTGATACTACAGGAGTTAACACACAGTTAAAGAGACATCAGAAAATCAACTAAAAATGAAATCAAGTAGTATAATAAATGACCTTTACTTATGGCAAAAAAAACATGGCATTTGCAGGACAATATAAGTACATATGTATATATATAAACCACTTTAGCTGGTTTCTACCTTCTTGGAATGCAGATGCCCCATTTTTCCTTGTAATAAGCTATGGACATGTCATTCCCTGTCATTAATCTTAGAATTCTATTAAAAATACCAGCAATTCATAACTTGAAATTCAGAAGAAAAATCTACACAGAAATACCGAACTGTTGAGCAGAGCTACGGTAACAACTCCAAGCACCTCTAATGTCACACCCTGTCCTCCCCACACAGACTGAAGGAGCTCACTGTACATCGTAACAAAAACAACGAAGTGGAAATAGAAGTTTTGCCCTCCAGGCTTAGAGCAAGAGGAAAATAGGGTCAGCATTAAAACCAGCCTCAAACTAGAACCATAAAATGGCCTGTAAAAAGACTTGCACATTTTTGTCACCAGTATAACAGTTACAAAACCTATTGTAATTTGTTATCCTCGTAACAGAATCTAGTCTATTTTTCTCTCAAATATTTACACTGAATTCAGTAGCATTCTAGCTTATATTTTCAATTTCTTTATTATCATTATGTTCACTTTGTGAAACACTTATTTCATGGAATAGATAAACAAAAAAATTATCAAAGTGCATACCACACTCATTTAAGCATAATGCATCACTGGGTGACTAAATGCACTGCTCATTAAATTAACATTTCAGACTGTAATTCACAGAGACTAAAGCGTAATTAAGTCTCTCTCTCTCTCCCCTCCTGTTTCCTTTCCCCTAGATTCTGTAATCAAAGCGTGGCAGCAATCTATTAATGCAAATATCCAGAGCCTTACCTGCTCCGTTTCCACCAGCATTTCAGGCATTGCCTCAAACTATAGAAGGAATTATATCAGCCTAGGAAATTATTGCAGTTCAACCGCGCATTTGTCCCTTTGTCTGCTTTTGCCTGCAGAGAGCACATGGACTGGAAGAAGCAATAGCTCAGTTGACCTTTGAAACCAAAACGCTAATCCAAGCCCTATATCACGTGTGGCTCTGAATCCTGTTACGCTTTTCATTTGTTCCCAGTGGTACCATTTAAGCAGCTCAGTATGAACTTAAATTTTTACTTCTTAACAGCCAGCATGAGCAAGTGCAGCCATTGTGTGTAGAAAATTTATTCAAAGCACTGGCACTGAGTCTTATGCAGTTTTCCTTTTATAAGGAACAGGAGGAGGGCTCTAATTAGGTCAGCCAGGTTGAGGGTTCTAGCAGCTCTTCATTTTATGTTTAAACTAAGTACAACCCCGATCTTCCTACAATACAGTGAGATGGATGATCAGAGAAATAATTTCTTGTAAAATTACATCTTTTTTCAATTAAAAAAGGCGTGTTCCACAACTTGAAAGTAATTGATTCCTGCAGTGAATACTTAAGTCAGTTGAGCTACCAGTATCAAGGTTTCAGTTTTTAATATGTTTCACACGTGCATGAAACTGACAAAAGCACTTAGATTGAAGTTGACACAAAGCACTCAAAATTTCCCCTTTACTTCCACTTTTTACATCTCTCCCCATCTGCCCTACGGTATTTATCTATATTTTAAAGCTAAAACCAAAATCAACATTGCTGTAAGGCTAGCATCATTATTTGCTAGAATTTCCCTATTCTTTTGTCAACATAAGCATGCTCTTGATAGCCTAAAAAAGATTTAAAATGACACTTAAGCATAACTGCCAAATAAGCTAGAAAGTTTTAAAATGAAGGCTGTGGCCATCATAAAAGAGCATAGTCCTGCAATATCTGCAGTATTTTGCTTCAGTTGGTATACTTTCACCCTTGGACAAACTCTTGCTAACTTGATGCAGGACACGTCAAACACCAAAACTGAGGTTCAGTTAAAAAAATGTACCTTAAGTCAGTGTCCCCATTTCCACATTTTGAGTTTTGTGGAACCTTCTGTTAACACTCACTTGCCCTCATCTCTCTTGAAATAAAAGGCTTATTCACATTTTTAAAAACACATTAAACTAAGGATGTCTTTCATTTTTTGGCATGAAGGCTTTTCAACAGCCTTTGACGTTCTGATTTATGACTAGTGATTTTGCCTTAAAAATCCCCATATGAGTAGAATCCTGGAATGGTTTGGGTTGGAAGGGACCTTAAAGCTCATCTAATTCCAACCCCCCTGCCACGGACAGGGACACCTTCCACTACGCCAGGTTGCTCAAAGCCCCATCCAACCTGGCCTGGAGCAGCACAGAAAGCATGCAACTTCCAGCAACCATGCATGAGAGATTAATGCCATCTTGTGATAAAAACTCTAGTGTGATTAGCTGTGGACTGTTACTTCGTCCATTTTCAGTTATTTACAGATTTCTACCACACACACACCCCCCCGCCCCTCCCCCCTTTTTGCCATTTCCCCTGCTGTTTGCTAGGAGTTTGATTTAAGCAACTGCTCATTTCACATCCTCTGGCTAGTGGCTATAAGGGCTGTGTAACATCATGATTTCTAGTAAGTTTGTGTTCTCATCAAATGAGTCACACTAATGCACATTTCCTCTATGCTTTTCTCTCACCCCACTTACATCTTTCGGCCAAGAAAACTCTTATCTTTTTCTCCATAAGGAGAGATAACTTCAATATTAAATTCTTTCAGCAACTTCCTTATTAAAATATGCCTCTCAGCACTTCAGGCAAACTGCTAAATTGAACACTAAGTATTTCTCAATTCAAACACCTGAAGTTAATCCTCATCCTTAGTCTTCAGAAGTTCAAATAATCCAGCAAATACACAAAGTTGACATTAACAGAGAAGACATAGCAATTTCTCTCCTTAGACTTAATATGCATTTTTGGTATCTCATTTCCCCGTATTATCAATCCTCTGTAAGCTTATAATATCAGTATAAATGGCAATATAGTCAACATGCTAAGCTTTGTGTACTCTCTGCAGCACCCATATGCAGGATATTAGTAGATACAATAACAGAAACAGAGTTCCACATTTCACTTAAGTTTCAGTATTTACTTTTGTATTAACAGAAATTCACAGGAAATGAGAGGATAAGGGAATTGCAGGTTGTATGTATTGTACAGCTCAGCTAAATAATTTCTGTAAGATTAGAAAATATATAGTCTAAGCAAGACCGACATTGGGCTTTGTTATGAAGATTTAAGCCTCGAACAAAGAACATTATGTCAATTACATGATGTAATTTTAGTTTGGTTTTTATCCCTGATTTATGAAGGAAATAGACAAATTCTTTAATTTAAAATTTTTATTGTGCTAAAATGTTCTTAATTTTAGATGCAGTTAAACAGATCCTTTCCACCCTGCCAAAATTCAAGTCTGTATAATGCGAATGCCTGTACAGTGGGTATCCTCCCACCCAATTAAGACAAGTTCTGTTGTTATTCCCCTTCACTTAACATTGATCAATTACAATGTTGGCTACAAAGATATGACAATTTAAAAGCCCAGTGAGCACAACACTTATAAAATAGACATGTCTCTTAAAGCACTAATCTTAATCACAGTATGCAGACATTTACATGAATGCAGTCAATTTGAGTTTGACCTGAAAAATCCTCTTCTGAAGATCAACAGCTGCAATATCTAGCCCCAGGATTTAAATCAGCATGTCCTGAATATAGATACCATTAAGAATATCAAAACTAACTGTACAGTCCAATTTTCTACATTGGTTCTACATTATGTAGGCCGCAGAGGAAAAGGGTCGCTTGGCAGCATGCCTGCCATTGGTATTGAAGCAACCATAAACAGCAAAATTAATTTAACATAAAATTGTATACATGAGATAGATGCAAAAAAAAAAATCTTATATGAAATCAGATTTCATCTATCATCCTTCTTCTCCAGTGCTTATTCACCCTTTTCTGAACTGAAGCTGCTCTGTAGAAATGAAGCTAAGCAGCTTCAGCATACAAAAAAGTGAAACGGTGAACACCCTTCAGAGTTCAAGAGTGCAACGATGTTACTAGGAGTCTGGAACATCCAGCCACCTGTGGCTTCTCAGTAAGAGTGTAAATAGTTTTTCTAAAAATGTAACATTTTAGACCATTTCTCTAGTACTATTACTAATCTGTAATGTATACAGCATCCAAGTTCACCTTGAACAAGTAGTCTGTTGAAGTCTTCGGTAGCACATGAATTTATTGGCGATTTATGATATTTTTCTTAACACCAAGAAGAGATTAAATTTTGTTTTTACTACCTGCAATGGAAGAACATTACTAAGTTTGGGTTTTTCACTATTGCTCCCACCACATCAAGTAATTATTTGTTTGCTGGGGGGGGGGGGGAAAGGCACTACACTCCACATAACAGGCAAGACAGAATTTCAGACCCTGGAATATACTGTAAAATGAAGGTCTGGTTGAGATCTATACTCTCCCACACTCTCTCCTACACTGCTACCCTTTGAGCGCCCCTACGTGCTTGCCATCCTTCCCTCCACTCTACATTCATCTGCAGGCCTTTTGCATCTTACCTTTACACCTGCAGCAGTATAAGGACCCACCAGGTAGCAGCTAAAGAACCAGGGCTCAAACCTCCGGCTGAGCCACTTCCACCCCTACCACCTATGCAGGAGACGTGGCCTGTCACCTGACCGGCTCTAATGGGTACACTGTATGACAGAAGGCAGATTGTAGGTGATAAACAGTAGCAAAGCAAAGTTCACATCTTGCAAGATCAAGCAACCCAGCTGCTTCCCTGTAACACACTCCTTCTCCCCTACCAAACACACTTTCTGTTGTCTGACCTGACATACCACCTGCTCAGGTCAGGTTGTAAGAAACTGGGCTGGAAAGCACAACAGCAAACCATACACTGGAAGTGCCCCATTGATTCAGCCTTCCAACATCTGCTGTGAAACACACAAGAGATGCCATTCTCCTCCTTTCCCCAAATACAGCAGACTATGCAAGACTGTCAATACCTTCTTTGGTTGAGTTTAGGAGGTACGAGGACATGGTTACATCAATATCTAATCTAAGCTTACCTTCTTTAAGAGGAGTTTTTGGAGGAATGTTTTCCTTGCTATCATGCTGGAAGGCTTTGGAAGGATCAAAACGCCTAATGCCCTGAATTGCACATAGTTGGTCCTGAAGATCTCTGTTGGTTTGCTTTTCTTTTGCTAGCAATGCACGCAGTTTTGAGACATCCTAAAGAAAACATAATAGTTGGAAGTTAGATTAAGAACAGGAGAAAAGCCTGCTTCATGATTTACTGAAGTAGCTCTTTTGACTAATGCTAAGCATAAAACATACATAACAAAATTATTGGTGGCATTAAAAAACAAACCATACAGGTGTAGAGAAACCAGCACCACTGTATAATTGCTGTATAACACCACTAAGCAGTATGGTAGCCTGAAACTTTCCAGTGCTGCTTTCAGCAGCTAGTTTACGAAGTCTAGAACCTGCAAAAGAGGTAAGAAAAACCAACCAAGCTAAAAGTAGGGGTGGTTATTTGCACTGGTGATCCCTCTATGTATCATATATTCAGCTGAAACTGAAACAGATTATCTTGGTGTTTCTGGAGGCTGATGGTTTGTTCTAAGCTAGCTCTTGCAGGGAATTTAAGAACCATAGAAAGCAAGTAGTTTGCAGGACTAGTCTATAAATATTTAGAGAAACAAACAAAGGAATCAAGCAAATGAATAACAGATTTCTAACTTCCCATTTCACAAACCTGCTTCAGGTGGGTATTGTCTTCCTTCAACTTCATAACATGTTTGATTTTTTGCTTCTGGTTCTGGTGGCCAAGTAGTTTAGCATATGCATCACTTAGTTTATTCAGTTCTTCTTGGGCTGCACCATGCTCATTTAAGAGTGCATTCTTCTCTGCTTCAAA